CGGCGGGCCCGCAGTCCCCCGCGCCGGCGGCGCCGGCCGCGCACGCGCGCCGCGGATCGCCCACGCTGTCACCCACTGTGTACGCCCCGGCGGACGCAGCGCTCCAGCAGCTGCTGCGTGGGGGGACGCAGAGCCTCGCACCCGGCAGCGTGACCGCGGCGGCCAGCGCGCGGGGCAGGACGCACAAGACCCGCAAGCGGGCCGCAAAGGTCGCGCGGCGCCTGCAGGCCGCGGGGTGAGCGGGTCGAGGGAAGGGGGGTAAATGTCCGTGAACCGGCAAGCCTGGCGCGGCATCTGAGGGCGCCTGGCCCCGCTGATCGGCTGCCGCGCAGCGAGGCGAGGGAGCGGCCCGGGCTGCCTTGTATTTGGACTGCGTCACCCCGACTGCATTGTTTGGACTGCGACCGCAAATTGGCCCGACCGTCGCGGCGCCGCGCCGACGCCAGCGCCGTCCCTCTCGCTTCCGCCACGGATTGCACGCACCGCAGGGCGCCGTTTGAGGAGCAGCCGGAGGCCGCGGCACTGGTGGAAAGCCAAGAGGGGCGGGAGCTGCTGGCGTATTGGGCGCCGCACCTCCGGGTGCTGGGAGTCACGCCGCCACCCCTGCCGCTGCGAGAGGCGGCCGCGGAGGACGCTGCCGAAGGGCAAGAGTTCCGAGAGCAGCAGGTAGAGCAGCAGCAGCAGCAGCAGCAGCAGCAGCAGCAGCAGCAGGAGGAGGAGGAGCAGCGGCAGCAGCAGCAGGAGCAGCAGCAGCAGCAGCAGCAGGAGCAGCAGCAGCAGGTAGAGCAGCAGGTAAAGCAGCAGCAGATAGAGCCGAAGCAACAGCATATAGAGCACAAGCAGCAGCTTATGGAACAGCAGCAGCAGCAGCGGCAGCAGGCGAGGCAGCAACAGCCTTTCCGCCGGAGCCTCAGTCGGTTGCCTCAGCAGCAGCCCATTGCCACCCCAGCCGGCCGGGTCGCCATCGGACCCAGGGCAGCACCCAGCAGCGGCGGCGGCGGCAAGGCGGACGCACAGGCGCAGGCGGACCAAAAGGCGGCCTCCTCCAAGGCTGGCGCCGACGTTGCCAGCAGGACTGGTGGCGGCGGCGCTGCCGACGCAGCCCTGAAGCGCAGCCCGACGCCGCAGGAGCGCGCGGCTGCGTTGGAGTGGCTGGCGCGCTCTGTGATTGAGCAGCAGCCGCAGCGGCCGGGGCTTATCTGCGCGGTCGCGCGGCGCAGCGGGCTTCAGGCGCTGCTGTGCAGTCAGATACTGGAGCGGGCGGCCCTGGGCGGCGAGCGCAGGCGTGGCGTCGGCGTCGGCGGCGCGAGCAGCGGCGGCATGAGCAGCGGCGGCGTGAGCAGCGACGGCGGCGCGGGGCGCGGCATGAGCTTGAAGCCGCACTCGGCGCTGCTGGTGAGGACGGGGCGCCCGGCATCGACGACGCGCGACGTGGCTGAGCGGCCGGCTGATCGTGCGCTTTGAGTGTTTGTAGTTGCCGCAGCTTGTCAAGCACGCCTCCTGCTCACGGCGCCGCGAACACCCCACACCCTGAAGCGAGCCGTGCTTCCGCGCACACACTGGCCCTTGCACAGGCATGCATGCTGGACGCGCTGCTGCTGCTGCTCTCGTGCCCATCCGGCCGCGACTGCCTGCTGTCCGACGCGCCCTCGCCGCCCGCGTTTGCGCGGCTCTGCCTGGCGGCGCTGGACCGCTGCAACGGGCTGGACGACTGCTGCGGCGACGACGACGGCGGCGGCGGCGGCGGCGGGGGCGGGGGCCTCGACGCAGCGCTGCTGGAGCGCCTGCTGCGGGTGAGGGGCCCCGCCGCGCGACGCGCCGCGTCGCCCGTGATAAACAGACGCGCGCACGAACGCTCGCCTGGGGTGCACAGGTGTTTGCGGCCTCTTCGCCAAGAGGGCGCCGCAGCGGTTTCTGCATGTTCTGTCCCGCCCGCTGAGGTCACTGGCGGGTGTGCGCCGCCTTGCATTCGGGCGCCCCGCCCGCCTCCTGCCCCGACCGCACCCCCAGGTGCTGCTGGCGCTGCTGCGGCAGGAGCCGCCGCCTGGCCCGCGGCTGGAGGGGGCGCAGGACGGGCTCGTGTCATACTGCGTGGCCGCAGGGGTGGTGCACCGCGTTGCCGCGGCGTTTGCGCTGTTCGACGGGCCGCAGGCGAGTGGGGCCGGCGGCTGAGCGCGCCGTGGGTTGCCAGGTCTGGCGCAACACGTGTGGCTTGGTCATGGGGGCTGGACCCGACAGATATCTTTAGGTTTCTCAACGCACGAGACGTCCACTCCAGAGCCGCCGTGATTGCCGCGCGCCCAAACGCTGGCTCCCTTCCCTTGCTCCCTGCGACCACCCGGCAGGCCGCCAGCGCGCCGGTGCCGCCCTACGTGCTGCTGTGCCTCCGCCTGCTGCGCGCCATGACGGCATGCCCCCATACCCCCGCCGAGGCCGACCCCGCCGCCGACCCCGCGGCATCCGCGGCGGCGGCGCCGCGGCCATTGATGCCGGGCCGCCTGTGGCCGGGCACGCCGCCGAAGACGGCCGGCCTTGTCATTGCGCTCCACGAGACGAGCTGCGCCGGCCTGCTCAGCCTGCTGACCGGCGTGCTGCTGCACGCGTCGCCCTCGTGCACCGTCGCCGACGCGTCGGCGCGGCAGCTGCCCGGCAACTTCCCAGAGGCGGCCAGGCTGGTGCTGCAGGTGCTGAACAACGTGTGCCGCCTGGACCTGCTGGCTGCGCAGCAGATCCTGGCCAGCACGCACAACAGGCTCGAGTTTTACCACCTAGTGGCGTTCCTCCTGGCCTACTGCACAGAGCAGTGGCCGTCGCCCGCGGGCGGGGCTGCGGCGGGCGCGGCGCCGGCCAAGCAAGCGGTGGCGGCTGGCGGCGCCGCGGCGGCGGCGGCAGGGGTGCGGAGGGCGGCGATGCGGGCGGGGCCGGGCACGGGCACGAGCGCGTGGGCAGCGCGGCCGCGGCCGCGGGCGGCGCCGAAGATCGCGGCGGCCGCAGCGGCAGCTGAGGTGGCGGCGGCGGTTAAGGCGGCGGCGGAGCTCGAGGCGTCGCTGCTGCCGTGCAGCGGGCGGCGCCACCCCCTGGCCGCCCTGATGGACGAGGTGCTGCTGCTCGTCGGTTATTTCTCTGTGGACAACCCGAGCAACCAGGTGCACGAGCGACGCTTCGGGGCGTGGGGAGGGTTGGGGGGCGGGGGAGAGGGGCTAGGGGAAGGTAAATTCGGCAAGTTGTGGCTGGTGTGCCGCAGCTGCGTTGCCACTGATAACCCCTGCAGGCCTTAGTGCCGACTCACCTTGTACATGGATGCCACTCCCGTTCATTCAGACAATAGGCTGCTTTTCCATCCCACCCTCCCTTGAAACCCCCAATAATCATCCCCAACCCGTCCCCGTGAAACCACATAAACCCATGCCAACCAGGGCATGCTGCAGTGGGGCGAGGTGAGCTTGGCCCAGCGACTCTGCCAAGCGCCCGCGCCCTACTTCGTGCGACCCGCGCTGGCCGCCGTCGCAGCGCCTTCGCTCGTGGCGGTGTGCTTCAAGGCGGAGCGCGCCTGCGACCTGGTGGAGCGCTTCCTGCCCCCCCAGCTGCTGCTGGACTTTGTCGCGGCGCACGCCGAGCGGCGGCGCGGGGCGGGGGCACTGCAAGGGGTGCAGGAGGGGCGGCAAGCAGTTGAGGAAGGGCCGCAGCAGCGGGAGGAGCAGCAGCAGCAGCAGCAGCAGCAGCAGCAGCAGCAGCAGCAGCAGCAGCAGCAGCAGCAGCAGCAGCAGCAGCAGCAGCAGCAACGCGTTGATGGGCAGGATCCAGAGCAAGTTGGGACCAAGGATCAGGGGCAGCAGCAGAGGGCAACACGCGAGCAGCAGCCTACTGCCAACCAACAGCCGCCAAGGCGCCAGCAGCAGGCGGCTCATCAGCAGCGGCCAGGCGCTGCTGCGGGCCGCCGCCAGCCGCGGCGCCCCCCTCCACCAGCGGCGCTGCCGCCGGGGCGCGCGGCGGCACAGGCAGCGGTGTGCGCGCGCTTCAGTTTTGCGGAGAGGTTTCCATGCGCAGCGCTGGAAGAGGCGGTTGCCTTTTTCAAAGCCAGGGTAGAGCGGCAGCAGCAGCAGCAGCAGGCGGCGGCGGCGGCACGGGAGGCTGAGGCAGGGCCCGCCTCGCAGCAGGCTGAGGGTGGATGCCTCGCGACTGCGCCCAAAAAGCAGTCCGTGGTGACTGTTCGAGCTGTGCTCTCATCATAGATATGCATGCAAATGCTGGTCCAGGACTCAGGTAGCGCTGCTTTCACACGCGATGCCAAGTGCCTTTGCTGAGGAGTTGCAGGGTTTCGCGCACTGGATTGTGCTGAGCGCGGCCCCTTGCCCAACCGCATCAGTGTAACCCTTGCGGCTGCTGGGCAGCTTGTGTGCGTGAGAGGGGCTGCTATGCAACATATGCATAACAAATGCCAAACACGGGCGCCTGCGCAGGGAACTGGGTCAGGCGACTGCAATGCGGGTAAGACACAAGGTGGCTGAGGATGACGAGACAGCACACAAGTGGGGGCAGGGTAAGGGGTGGGCCTGCTCTCCGATCCCAAGTCCCTAGACAGTTGCTGTAGCTGCAAGGGTTATCGCCTGTGTCTGGCAAACGAGGAGCTGTTCCCAACCACCGCTGAGCTGCTGATCAGGGCCAGAGACCACACCAGAGGTATGCAGTGGTGTTACAACTACTGTAATGACCCTGGCCGGCCGGCAATCAGGGGAATGCTACCAATCATTGAGGAAAAGGCAGGGCCGCACAACATGCATTTCCAGCATGGCGGGGCAAGACGACCGAAACCTGCGCCTGGAGGGGCACTGCCGCTTAGTGCGAGCCGCGGCCGCGCAGGATGGGGTTGGGCAGGGCGACGTTGAGGCCAACGATGTTCTGCACCGACCAGGGGTAGCGGCGGATGGTCAGGGGGCCGGCCGAGGTGCGCACGTTGATCGGGGGCTCGGGCCAGCCCTGCAGCAGCTTGCGGGCGGGGGCGGCGGTGGCGGCTGCGGGGAAAGGGGAGGGGAGATGGGAGAGAGTAGGGATGGGGTGGGTGAGCGCGTTTGGAATTGGGTTGGGAGGCGGGTACCGGCTGCGCAGAGGATGCAAGAAACGCGCACCGCAGCCCGACAGAGCCGTCAGCCAGAGCGCCGCCTGCTTCGGTCTGCCCACGGACTGCATGCCCACGCCGCAAGAGCCTGGCGCAGGTGCTCACCCTGCTGCACCTCAGCACTGGCCAGAGCCAGAACGCAGAAGACGGCAAACACGCTGAGGAGGATCGAGGAGCGGGCCATCTTTGCTTCGAGTCGAGCGGCTCGGGCTGCGGGTGGATGGAAGTAGGCACAACAAAGGGCAGGCCAGATTGAATTATTATAAGTTTGAATGGTGTTTTAAAGTGTTGGCATGGGGTGAGAGCGCGGCTGAGACTCCAAGAAGCGTTTGCCCATGAACTGCCGGCTGACACTGAGCGGCACAGGCTGGCAGGGCAAGTGACAAAGGATGTATGCACTGAATGCAAGCGGGTGGAGAGGCACGAGGCCCCCTGTGGGCTGCGGCCTTGGCTTGCTTGTGACATCGCGTTGCTCACCGAGTGCTGAGGGCTTGGGCTGTAGATGACTGCCTTGAGAGTGCTTGAAGTGGCGAGTGAAGATTGTGGAGGGCTCTCTGCGTTAAGAAGGGGTTTGTAACTCGTCCGCTCCGCCTGGTGACCCGCGCCATGACTGTTTGTCAACAGCGGCTGGCTGGTTCCTCGGCTGGCTCCCTTTACGGCGGCTGACAATCTCGTAACTGCATCAAACGTTTATGTTTGTTGATCCTGTACCGCGCACGGGCCTGGCCTTTCGGGATCGCGTGACTTGCGGACTCGCCGTCGCATGCAGCCGCCAAACACCTTGTACGTGGGAGCGTTGCGTGAGAAAAAAGGTTGCGCAAAACACATGTTACTTCGCACTTTCTCATGCCGACTGCGAGCAAATGCCAGGTTGCAAAAGCACAGCGTAGCGCGCACTCCCAGACAGCGGCGCTGCAGCGACATCCTCAGGCCCCCTGCACCCCACCCTTCACGGAACCTGCAACGGGCCGGCCAGCGCAGCAAGGTCGGTATCCCCCTCTGGGGGCCCCAGCGTCAGCCCCTGCGGAGGCCAGCAACAGCGGGGGCGAGCGCACCGCGGCCGGCTGCCTGTTAGCAACAGCGGCGATCACTGCAGCACCACTGGCAGGCGAGCACACGCCCTGACCGCAGTCGATCTGAACGCAGCCACCTCGCTGCATGCGCGCGCTTTCTGAACGCGGCTCGCGAGCGCGAAGCCCTGGCCCCACCCCGAAGCACCAAGGGCGCCCGCACCTGCACGTTGAGCCCCAGCCCGCCCAGCGCCCGCTTGAGCGCAGCCTCTGCAGCGGCGCGCTTGGCGAAGGCGTGCGTGCGGTCGTCCATCCCCTCGGGCTGCGGCACCGCAGCAGCAGCGTCCCACGCGCTGGCAAAGGCGTCGTGTATCTGCAGGGGCGTGTGGCAAGGGGAGCGTGGGTGGGGGGGCGGGTGGGCAGGTATCGGGAGGAGCGGGCTGATGCGGGCATGGCCGGTGCATGTTCCTGCCGTTGCATGACAACGTGCAAGTGGACTGGTCCAAAATCAAGCAAGCAGGTTGATGCGCGTGCATACAAAGTCGCTGACCATCGCATGCGTCAGCGCGAGCATATG